TTATACATTGTATGCATGTATCAAAATAGCCCATGTATCCCATAAATACATACAACCATAAATATGTACAATTATGTATCAATTAAAAAGATTGTTTTTATGAGAACTACATAAGTTTTGAAAAACTGAATAAAGGCGAACTTCTAAAAAAAATACTGTTGCATTAGATATGAGTGAGATAACTGAAAAAGATCGGCGGGGGGTGCTGAAAATTTAGGAGGATTCTGAACTCAGATTGCTTTGCAAGTCTCTGAGTTCTTTCACCACTTTAATGAAATTGAAACTGAAAAGCGTAGACAGTGCAGTAATGACCAAATCCAGCCAGAAGACCCATACTCAAAGAAAAGGCCCTGCCACAAGAAATAGCTAACGAATGTACTTCATATGCTTCATGTTAAAAATAAAAGATTATCTCTTTTTATGATTCTCCACTTAAAAAAAAAATCATCTTCTTTGATTAGTAGACCAAGGTCCCCATCAGGTAAAGAGGACTTTTACTATTCTATGATCTTTCTTACATTGTAGGCCTTTTAAAAAATATCATAATGATAATCATACTATTGCAGGTCATAATGGTACATTTAACTTGTGTGAGTTCTCTTTGCCTAAGACCTACATAAAACATGTCCTCAGTGTATCTCATATTAAAACCCAATTCTTATTATGTTTTCTTTACAGAACATTCAGAAGATTCTTGGTCTTGCCCCTTCACGAGCTGCCACCAAGCAGGCAGGTGGATTTCTTGGCCCTCCACCTCCTTCTGGGAAGTTCTCTTGAACTCACGCAAGAACTCTTTAATTCCCGTTCTTTTCAGATACTCACATCAGACTGGCAACTATTTTGCAGCAAGAGCCATAGGCAGCCTTAGCACTTGGGCCACTTTCTAGTTTTGAGTTATTTCTAGGCCTTTTGAATATGATTAGAATGAAAATGGCACCCAACAAATATAATAGTGCTTTTGGTCATAGATGAATTTTTTTTAAATAAATGGGTTGATTAGTTAAGTTCAGGTGATGTTTTTGTAATGAGCAACAAATAGCATCTTTCTCGTTTTACTTACATAAATATTTTCTGCGGGACCGACTGTCAAGGCTGTTGTGTGTACCATGGAAGCTGGCTTTCTATGAACATTTAGATAGCTAGAAGAAAAATTTTGTTTGTATAACTCTTAATTGGAACTATTGGGTTGTTTTTTTTCAAGCCAAATAATGACTTGAGATCAATAAAGCGGCCAAATTTTTAGCTATTTTATCTACAAGGAGAGATCGCTTTTGTTTTGTTTTGCCGCATTTCTAGATACAAGCTTTTAGTAATCTGAACATAAAGATAAGTATTGGCCAGGAAGGGCTAAAATAAAATTTTTTTAATATACTATACTTTTTGCCATATTTGCCTCATATGCTCAAAATACAGAGTTGTCCCAGTATAGGAATTGGACAGCAAGAGTGGAAAGGAAAGGAATGACTCATGGGAGTTTAAAAATGAGGGTCCCCAGCAGTTCTCTTCACACCCTATTACAGCCTATTGGATTCTTGTGAGGCACCCTTAGATCCTCCTTGGAAGCAAGATTCTAATTATATGTAGTTAATCTTGCAGAGCTTCCTTTTATTATCGTAACAGTGGACTTCAGTTTCTGCCATGTTCCTCCATAAGGGAGTGGGATGCTTATAACCATGATCCTCTCCCATAATCCACGGAATTAGGAATCTTATGTGGAGTAATAACTCTATCAATAAATGCATACATTCATCAATAGTCTCCTTAGATGTGAGTATTCTACCAGTGAAAAAATACATATAATTTGCCAAGTAATAACTTAAACCAATAGCAAGCTTCTCATCAACACCATAAAGTCCAGAAAACAGTGGAAAAATATCTTTAAAGTGCTGAGGAAAATAAGTGTCAACTTAGA